AAGAAAATCAACTTTTTCCCCAACGTTCCATGTCCATTTACACCTAGTCAGTGACACATATACCAATAATTACAAGCTCTACAAATCCCACAAGATTTTACTTTAAAATGAGACCAAAAGCAGTCAAATAGAGCTTGTGGTTACAGAAACATACTCATTAACGTGTGGGCATGTCCTTTTTGAGCAGATTTCCCAAAAAAAAAAAAGGCCTAGGGTTCAGACCCCCACCGCTCTCTGTGGCCAGAATATCAAATCTGCAACTTCAGAGTGCCGGCCAGGTCTGCTAGACTTAAAAAAACTTGAGCTGACATACCTGGTGCTGCTGTCTGCTTCCAGCACATCTCCAGCATGTTGCAGATCATGAACACAGCTGATTTGTTTGATTTAGAGATGAACCACTCCAGTAGACACTAATGAAGGCAGGGGAAATGTTTCAGCTTTCAGATTAAGGTGTTAAACAGATGAACGCACAGCGAGGAGATCAGTTTTGGTTTGGCTCTACTAAACCGATATTAGAGGGTGCTAAAAGCAAGCCAAAACTGCCAATAAGCCACTGACACTTCAATATCAAGATGTCTTCTTTTACTGTGTAGTCCTAAAAGTAGACAGGGTGTCTGCAAACTAGAAGCTGGTTCCGCAAGACAAGAACCCGGGAAGCCACAGCTTTACTTTTTGAACACCCAGGAACCACAAGCACACCTGTAGTCAGAGCCAGGGGCTCTGTAGGAACGTCTGGAACAAGAAGGTCTCCATAGGAGATGAAGCGTGATCTTTCAGAGCTTTAAAGTTAGAAATAGAAGGTTTCACTTAAAACCAGTTGTTCTTGCTGATGTTTACTTGCTGTGGTGGCCATCTTTAATCTGGTTGACTCCCTAACCCTTTGTTACTGCAGTTTCATTTTGAACCAGCTTGTCTTAATGCACGTTTTAATAAGCAGCCAATCTGCTTTACATATAGGTGTAAAACCAGTGACCTTCTCAGACTGGGAGAAGATTGATGACTTGGAGACGAGGAGGGGCGAGGTCAGCGGGAAACCCAGAGAGAAGATCCTTACCATAGCAGCGATGCTGAAGGTGGCGCAGACATGACTGAACCAAATGGGGCATTTAATGCAACATACGAGCATTTTTAGGGTTATTCAGCAGGGACCAATGATTGACGTGTTGGAATACACATTTCATCTGTTTTTAGTATCATTGTAATGGAACTAATGACTGAATTAAAACTGATCATACATCACTGGCATTTCCTTGCAAAGTTGTGAAAAATAATGCATGTGAAATTGTAGAAGAGGTTAAAAACTTCTCGCGGGAATTGTTCAAGGTGAGCTTGCATCAGTCAGGAACTCACTGGTCAGAATTAGTGAACTTGCCTTTCCGCCACACAATTCGTTGTTTTCTACTCGGTCTCCAGTTCTGAAATGACAGTCAGAGGTTTTCTGCCTTCTAGATAAAATAGTGCTTGTGAATTCTACATGGATTCAGTTGACTGGACTAGTGGAGCGGTCTTCAGGTAAGTAATGTCATTAGGTGGGACACCTGCAGTAGTGTTAGCTTTAGCCAACAGTTACTAAACTGATCCAGCTACAAAGTCCCTTACCTTCATCTTTCTCCTGCACCTCTTGACTTATTTCAGCAAGATGCAGAGAGAAGCCTGTGACCAGAATGGTATTAAATAAAAAATCCCCTTTAAGTGTACTGACCACAAATACACCACAACAGCGCGAGTATGCATCCGTCCTCGCTACACAACATTTACAAAAACCTCAGAATTCAGACAAACCTGTGGAAAGGCGAGCTGCCAGCGCACAACTCATGAAGACAGCTCCTGCTGTTGCTGCAGCAGAGTATAGCTGTGGCACACAGGTGAGCTTTAAATGTGTTTTGGGGCAGGTGACACAGCTGCTCCTCATCAAGCTTAATGGCACCCTCTTCCTGCAGTTTAGGCTGAGTGGCTTTAAGAGCATCCTGTGGAAACTGTGACCCTGCCAGCTGCATTGAACATTTGTTGGTTAATGCACCAATGAATGATGGTGGGCTTGTTTACCAGCAGATTCCTCATGAGCTCTTTGTCAATAAGAGGTTATCTAACATTCTGTCCAGTCGCCACAGATATTGGGGATTGTATACACATCGAAGCTGCAATGGAGTCCTGATCCCATGGCTGGGCCACATGCAGAAGATTGTCCTGGTGGCGCTGGACTTCACAAATGCAGTGGAAATGGGGTTTTGCCATTGAAGGGGACATCATTTGTGCTGCCATGTAGGGTTGTACTGCCTCTAATAACACTCCAAACATGAATAAAAAGGATTTATTTGTGTGTCAGTGTTTGGTTTCAGGAATGACATGCCTTAAATGAGCTTTATCTTTTTATTTTGTTACTGTGGTTGTGAAACACATAATTTTTCTCTTGAAAGGCACTTCATAAAAAAAGACTTTCTTCTTCTTGTAGACTATCCTACATTTAAAAAACGTATTTTCCCCCAGTAGAAATTAAAATTCACTTCCCGGTTTCCACTGATCCTATGATAACTTTAAAAAAATACATCCTGGGGAGGTGGGGTTTAAGAATGATGATCACCACTGAACGTCTCCCAGTCCCACGTATCTGAGAGACCTATCTAATACAGTAAAGTCACAAGCTGGGCTAAAGATAACTGTTCAGGTTCGGTCTAACCAGACCCTGGTGCCACCCAGTGGCTCTTTTATAAACTGTGTCCAGTTGTATGTTTAACTAGGATCTGGAGCCATGTTTAATACCGACCATTCTCTGGTGCAGTGTCAACCTTCTGCAACTGCTTCTAACTATTGGGTCTGTGTAAAGTTTCAATCATCTTTAGGTACAGGTGTTCTGATGGGTCTGCGGGTGAAAGAACAGTCTAAGTTTCTGCATTTTTAACTCTCATCTGTTTTAGGTCAATCAGCCGTTCATTAGGCATCAACGATTAAACATAAACTGTTGTTTAATGTAGATGATGATTAAAAATACATGTGATCGATCTTCAGAAACAAGCAACCAAAGATATTTAAGGCTGAGCAGAAAACGTCTATCAGCAGCGGCTCCCATCTACCTGAATCCTCTTGCAAAGGCTTACGTCTCGGCCCAGCCGCTCCGGTCATCACAGGATCGTCGGATAGCAGTGCCTACACCACGCTCAGGACAATCCAGACTCTTCTCATGCATCGTTCCACAAATGTGGAATGACCTTCCATTCACTAGAACAAGGGCTTCCTTTTCGATTTTCAAGAAACTATTTTTTTTCTCTTTATTTGTTTCATTCAGTGTTTAAAAAACATATATATATATATATATATATATATATATATGTGTGTGTGTGTGTGTGTGTGTGTGTGTGTGTGTGTGTGTGTGTGTGTGTGTAACGTGAGGAAGTATGGGTTTTCTGTGCCAAAGGTCGTATTTGCCCGGCTGGGTCAAAGCTGGGTCACGCAGCACTTTCACCCACAGATTAAGACCTGAGCTGACAGCAAGTCTGAAGGACGCCACAACATCCAACACCTGCAGCTTCAGAAGAAGGACTTCTCCACAGTTTAGTCATAATAAAACTTTACGTCTTAAACTTTCTTCATTATGAATGTTAAATAATCATTTGATCACTTTGCTCATTATAAATGTATTTTAATCAAATGAATGATTATTATGCTTTGGGTAATCATAATGAACTATAATGAATCAATACTTAATTAAATAATGTTTTTGAAGATGTTTAGCAATGACCTTCACACTTCCTCACACAGGTCCGTATCCACAGTAACTCAAAACACATTTGCTCTGACGCACAACAAGTTTGCTTTGGGAAGAGAAGTGGTTTTGGTAAGTTAGTCAGTTCGAGAGAGAGAACGAAAGAAGAAGTGTGGAACCAACGCCACGGGGAAAGGAGCCCTGCCGGCTCTTTTCTCCCTCCACGCCATTTCTGTCAAGCCAGACAGAATAGCTGAAATGCAACCAGCTAAAGCAGACTCGTCCCAGAGTCTTTGATTTCTGATTTAATTTAAACTTGAGAAAGCGCATGTTGCGAACGCTTCAGCAACGTGTACCGAGGTCAACTCTGGACTGGACCGGCGCACACCTTTGTCTTCTCTGTCAGCCAAGGTGGCATCTGGAGAAACATCCTCCTTCGGTGCGGATCTAAAAGAGGGTCCTAAATGCGGTGAGGCAGAACACGATAGATAGCGTTTTGATGTTGTTTTCTAATAAGAACTAAAGTTTAATGGCAAAACATCATTTTTCTCTCAGATTCACCTTTTCTCTCCCTGAAGCAATCTCAGACACCTGCACACACGCATTCATAATTCCATCATCCTCAAATCTTAGCACATCCAACACAAGGTCTATTTGTGCAAGCTTAAAATATCACCTGTTAAAGATTGTCCAACAAGGTTGCCAATGTTGATTGTTTCCTATGATTGTCATTTCAAATCGTTAGTTTAGATTGAAGAATTAAAACTCTTAAATTTCAAACTTGTCTTTTCATTGAACTGAAACACAGACAACCGGATATGATCGTCAGTTTATCGATGAAAACAATCTTTGAGTCTTCTTATCTCTATAAATTTGGTTATTAATTTTGTTAAAATTAATATTCCAGATCATTATGTAGAATGGTTCATCTTTCATAAAAGAGCCATAAACCATTACGCTACATATACAAACAACAACAAAAAAAACATACATAAACATGAACACCAAACAATTTGAATGAAAAGGGGCAGAAGGAAGAAATATATTATGTGCCCCTATTTACAAACCAAACTTTTTAATAATGCTTCCATACAATTCTCCATAAACAACAAAACAAAACGAAACACAGATTCATTTTATATTCTTTTAACTTACAGACCTAATCAGACACCAACTGAATTTAGGTTATTGTAGTCCTATAATACACTTGATTTGATCATTTTTTTAAAATATATTTAGTGACTTTGATTCTTTTATGTCTTTGCTAAGGTTGTTCCATGTTCTCACGCCATTAACAGAGATAGTCATTTCCTTCATTCTGGTTCTAAATTTTGTTTTTTTAAATACTTCAGTTCCTTTTAAGAAATAATTACTGACTCTTTTCAAACATTTTCTGAATGCTGGTGGGTAACGTATTGGTTTTAGCTTTATACATTGTTTCCAATATTTTCATATTCACTAGATCATAAAATTTCAGTAGTTTATATTTGATGAATAACGGATTGGATGGATCTCTAGTGATTGTTATTAAAGATTATTTTCTGTAGAATAAACAATGGTTGTGTGTGAGTTTTACATGTGGATCCCCATATTTCTACACAGTAAGTCAAGTATGGAACAATTAGTGAGTTATACAATGTCAGCAATCCAGAACTATTCAGTAAAAACCTAACTTTATGTAGTACTGCAATGGCTTTGGCAATTTTACCTCTGATATAACCTATGTGTGACTTCCAGGTGATAGCTTCATCAAACATGACTCCTAAAAATTTCATTTCTTTCACCCTTTGAATGTCCATTCCATTAATTGTTATTGTTACATCTTTGTTGTCTCTGTCATTAAACAATATAACATTTGTTTTATTAAGATTCAGTAAAAGTCTGTTTATGTCAAACCAGTCGTTATCTTTTATCTGTTCATCATTTATCACTCTACTTCATTAATATCTGACCCTGAATAGAACACTGTTGTGTCATCAGCAAATAAAACAGTACCAAGTAGCTTAGATACACTTACAAGATCATTAATAAATAGTATGAACAGTTTAGTTCCAAGGACCGACCCTTGTGGCACACCATAATTAATCTCCCGCAGTTCTGATTTAGTGTTGTTTAGTTGGAGAAACTGTTTTCTATTCTTTAAATAACTTCTAACCCATTGATGCGCCACACCTCTTATTCCATACTGATATAATTTCTGAAGTAACCTCGAGTGACTGATAACATCAAAAGCTTTCTTCAAGTCAACAAATATACTGATGAAGTAGTTTTTATTGTCTATTGCTGTAGATATTTTGTCTATTAGTTCCATTATTGCCATTGCAATTGAATGTTTGGTCCTAAAACCATACTCTTCATTACTTAAAATATTATTTTCTTCAATGAATTTATCCAACCTTGATACAAATACTTTTTCTATTATTTTGGAAAACTGTGGAAGCAGTGACACTGGCCTGTAATTGGAGAAATTGTGTTTATCCCCACCCTTAAACAATGGAACCACCTTAGCAATTTTCATTGTGTCTGGGAAAATTCCTGT